TGGATAGGTCCTCGGTGTGAGTGAGCTATATCCACCCTGAAGGTTAATCTTGGACAATATCTGATGATCGACTCTTTTAAATGAAACCAGAGAGCTTTAGCGCCGATGCTTATTGCCTTATATGTATTAGCTCTGCGCTAGCGCGACAAACTAACAAGCTAAACTGAGGTCCTCAATCCATAGTTTCAGTTGCAGGCTGAGTCATTTTTGTGTTCCCCTCTCTGTCATGTGGATGGAGGTCCTCAGTGACGAGACGAGAACGTGTAACGCTGAGCTAATACATACAGTATATTTGGTGATAGTGTTGGGGCTAACTCTAAAGCTAACAGGCTAAGCTGAGGTTCTTCTTCCATGAAGCAGCTCTGTTGTCCTTTATCCATATTTTCAGTTCCAGGCTGTCATTTCTACCTTCTCCTCTCTGTCAACGCTCTCTGGTTTCATTTAAAAGAGTCGATCATCAGATATTGTCCAAAATTAATCTTCAGGGTGGATATAGCTCGCTAGCAGCCTCACACTGAGGACCTATCCATGTCATCTTTTACCCAGAATGCTTTTTGTGTAAATAAAATGGCTCCCGTCCGTATAATATATTTTTAAAAATTAAGTTTAAAAATTATAAAAACTAAACAKCCTACAGTATTTTTAGTCTTTATTTTACAGTTAAAATAAACGTTTATCAAATAAAGTCTAATGTTACAACTAATCATGGATTCCTTTAAGACTTTATCACATAACCATATTTTGTCATAAGTTAATCCATCGAAGCAATCAGAGATCTTACATTTAAAAATTTTAATTTCAGTGTATAAACTCACCGGGCAACACCTCCGTAGTCGAGGCCTTCCTCTCCAGGAAAGATGATCCACAGCCTCCTTCGTAGATCCTGAGCGTTGATGCTCATTATCTAAAAACAGACAAAAGATGAGCTCCCAGCATCTGACCAAAGAACAGTTTGATGTTATATAAGTTTCAATATCTTCAAAAACAATTTAGAGTCACTGACAGATTTCTTTAATTAATCAATCAATAAATAAATAAACAGTTAATTTTCTTCACTCATTCTGTTTATCAAAAATCAACACACTTTTTATAAAAAGCCTGACAACTGGAGAACTTCATACCTGCTGGAACGAGTCCTCAAACAGGGTTTTTCTAGTTACTGTGATCTTCACATGTTGAGGCAATGCCAGTTGCTAGAAAAAAACAAACAAACATTGTATTTTACACCAAACAGTCAACGCTGCTGTATGAATGACAAACAATATGAACCTTCTTGGACCCTTTGCTGCATCCCCTTTCTCTTTGCCCACTTCCTGTTTACTTATTGCCCAAAAAAAACACAGCTAGCATCTCCCCCAAGGGAAAAAAGAAAAAAAAAAAAAGAAAAAAAAATATATATATATTGTGTATATATATATATATGTATATACACT